TATATATTTTTTCTAGGTTTTCATTAGATTCTAAGACGATGTAGCCATGTCCCCCAGTCTGTCTGTTGAAACAGTTTTTAAGAACCGAAAGCTTTATCTAATTTATGTCGATTGGTCCACAATCGATCCTATTACAGCCATATAGCCCCTTTTACGGAAAATAATTTTATTATCAATAAATAACAAATTAGTTAACCGTAGTATAATAAAAGGATTTATCCATAAAGTCCTCAATTTGTACGATAGATTCTGATGGTGGATATACATATATGATTCGTCATAGTCTATTAATACTATTATTATTTTCTCGGGAATGATTTTGGTACAAATTTTGTCGAAAACAGCAATTATGTATTTCATAACTATATAATACCAAAGTATTTGGACATTTTGTCTAATTACGTAAAAGTAAACTATTGATTCTTTGGAACAAATCATTGTATGATATTACATATTAGTTTTAAAAATAATGGAACTCTAAACACAAGCAAAAAAATTTGGTAGTTTTTGGAACGTTTTGGTAGTTTTTTGTCGGAACTTTGGTAAGAAAAATAAATTGTGAGTGGCAACGCTGATTAGGACACACATATTTTCTTCAGAAATCATAGCAAACAACAACAATATACTCTCCCACTCTCTTATAAGCAAGATAAAAAGGGAATCAGTGTTGCCAACTTAGTGCTTTTAGCACTATTTGCGGTGCTTTTTGATGTGACAAACACGGACAATTTTTATCATGGTGCCATTTTTCAAAAAGGCACTATAGTGGTGCCTTTTTGAGTCCATTTAATGCTTTTTATAATATTTTCAATCTTTTTGTTTGATCAGTTTAATAGTCCATACTAAGGGAATAAATTTCACTTAAAAAAGTGTTTTAAATTTTAGAAACCTAACATAACTCTTTGACGTAAATGGGACACTGTTGTTCATATTTTTTGCATTTATTTCAAGTTTACAGCAACATTAACTAGCTAGCTTTTAACAAACTAGGTTCTAATGTGAAATTAAACTTTTTTCAAGAACTTGAAAAATATTAATATGCTTATATTTTTAAACATCAGGCCAGATTTATTTATATGAACGGTAAATTTTGACCGGTTTGAAGTGATTTTGTTTAAAGATATATAGATTTTGCAAAAAAAGTATTTCATAAGTTTTGTACAATTTTACAATTTGACATTTTACTATTTTTAAAATAACTTTTAAACAAATTAAGAGATTTTTAATTTGAATAACATAGAACGCAAAACCATTGGAAATAAAAGGAAGGGCATAAAAATGTGGAATATTGCTTGCAATTGCCGTTCATTTGAATATTTTGAAGTTTTTTCTTTTCAGTTCTTTTATGTTTGGAAAAAAGGAAGAAAATTGACAGCACTCCCTACTGATTCTACCTATTAACTATTAACTAACCGAAAATAATCGACATATTATAAATTTGATAAATCTATATGAAATACTTTAGTATAAAGCATGTTTTGTAGCCCTTAGTTAAAAAAAAAAAAAGTTTGGAATATGCCAGTCTTGTAGTACATGAGCAATGTGATGTGCAATTTTTATTAAAATAAACATTATTTTACCAAAAAAAAAAAACCGTAGTGCTTTTTTTACCCCTTTTCAGTTCGAAAATAACGCTTTTTACCCCTTTTTAATTTATTCGTGCGTTTTGCGTTTTGCTTGTCCATTGTTGTCAGCACTGAAGGGAATGCAAAATCCAAGTGCTCTGCCAAAAACATAAGTAACAAAACAAAAGTAGTAAAGGTTATAATACTAAACCATTTAGGTAAAAATCATTTTATAACTGTTATTCTGAGTGATTTATTAAAAAAAAAAACCAAAATAAATCACAATTCAATCACTTTGGTTATGTGGCCCAGTTATTTTCAGTCTCTGTATTAGGATTAAACAATACTGTTTCATATTTAATACATATTTATATTGTGATTAACTGAAAAAGTTATTTTAAGGACCACTTTATATAATGAAACCCATTTGAAATATATACCGGCGGAGCCTGGCTTCTCCGTTATGAACAAATTTTGACATCTATTAACTGTTAACAAATTAATATATTTTCATTTTTACACTATAAATATAACCTGATTAACTAAAAAATCCGATCCGGAACACTTTATATACCAAAATCCATGATGTACTTACCCGGCCAAAATTTGAAAATTACTCCGCAGGAGTAGAATTTTCCATTTGTAACAAAGATTCCATCATTTGGAATATATTTAATTTGTTCATTAATTTTTCATTGTTATGTTTATTTTTTTACAAACAAATTAATTTTACATAATTTCAGGGCAAACTTACGTTTTGTAAATGAATCTACCAGAACAGAATTTTTCATTTGAAACAAACATTATTCTATTTATAATATATTTTCTTCACAAATTTTTATGTTTTTATGTTTATTTTTATAAAAAAATAAAAATTTTACTAAAAATGTTCATTAAACGAATTTGCCGTACTTACAGTTTTTGACATCAGTGCGTACCAAATGCAAAAAAGGCCCATTTTGAAAAAAAAAAAAAAAAATTAAATTTTAAAAATCAAAAAAATATTTTTGGAAAAAATTAAGAAACAGCTATTTGAACTCCATTGGACAATTTTTTCTAGGACCAATAGGTGAAAAGTTACACTCATTTGAATGAGTGTAACAACTTTGACCCCCTCTAAGTCTGGCCTACTATCACATAGTACTAACTTTGGTGCCCAAATCGATCCAAATCGGAAGACATCGATTTTAAAAGTTGGGTTACTTGACACGAAATTCCCCTTTTTTTTGTAGGAAATAAAAGAGATTTCAGATTAAACTTGTTTTTCTCTATCTTACATACATAGGTATATAGTTTCCACGAAAAATGGACTTGTATGTTTTCCTTCAAAAAGTTAGTTCTTAGTGGAAAACAAGTAAGAAGTCTATACTCGCCTTTGCTGACTTTTATGTACCCTTCACCATAGTGTATTTAAACAAATTAAATACCCTCCACCTGTAAGCTTTTTGAAACCCATCTAAATAGTTTTAAATTTTCAATAAATTGTGAAAATTTAAATTTTGCTTCCATTTCGAAATTATTTAGCAGTTGTTTATACATCTATGGAACTAACTTTGATCAAGTCTATAACTTGTTTATGGACCTGTTATTGAAGATATGGACATGATTTACCGATACACATAATATACTATATAGGATTTTATAGGATACTTGTATGTTAATGAATTATATGGGGTAAAGTGACTTAAGGAAATGGATCTTATATGAGAGCTTTGACCAATTATGGGTCTGATATTAAAATTTTTCAGAATGATGAATTTTATACTTCATTCAGTAATGAAATATGTGCGTTTAAGTGGTTACCGGTAATAGGCTATGGAGTGATATACATATAGGAGGAGCTATGGAGTGATATACATATAGTATACACAAAACATATTTATGTTGAATGTTATTCCAATATTTATATTTTTACACCCTCCACCACCATCAGTGGTGATAGAGGGTATATATAAGTTTGTCATTCCGTGTGTAACACCAATATATATTAATCTGAGACCCAACAAAGTATATATGTATATTCCGGGTCCTTATCAAATTCTTAGTCTATTTAGCTATGTCCGTCTGTCTGTATTGAAAATGAGTTTGGTATTAAAAATGAGTGAAATCGGTTTACATCGGAAAGAGTTATGAAACAAAATTTAAAAAATAAGCTTTTTGTTTCTATGTATATGAAAGCTTGATTCCTGTTAAAAATGGGCGAAATCGGTCCACAATTTCATACACCTCCCATACAAATGTCCTTATTCCCGGAAAATGCATTAATTGTTAATAACTTCCGGGAGAATGACAATATATTTACAAAATTTTACAAATAAAAGTTTTTTACTTGTCAATGAAATACGCGCGTTATAGTGATTTTCGGAAATGAGTCTTATATGGAGCTATGACCAATTGTGAACTGTTTATATTTTCGTTCAAATAAAACGTGTATGCCAAATTTCATACAATTATCTTGAAAATTGCGACCTGTACCTTGCGCACAAGGTTTACATGGACAGCCAGCCAAACGGACGGACATAGCTTAATCGACTCAGAACGATTCTAAGCCGATTGGTATACTTTAAGGTGGGTCTAGGACGAATATTTTTGTATGTTACAAACATCAGCACAAATCCAATATACCCTCCCTTATTTATCAAAGCATGCAAAAAATGTTCTTTTTTGTGTGAAATTTTCAGAGATTGTCTCGGATTTTTGCTTATTTAAGGACGGATTTTGCTGATTTTAAATAGGTAACTTCTCGAAAGCATGTTTGGCAGAATTATTGAAGATTTGGATCCCGAATATATATGAGGTCTTCAGAAAACTGATTTCAACAAATCACAGGCGGACATTGCTTAGTGGACTCCTCTATCTATAAGGATTCAGAATATACATATATACTTTATACGGTCGGAAAATTATATTTTTGAAATTACAAACGGAATGACAATCTTATATATACCCTTCTACCGAAGGTGAAGGGTATAATAATAATGAACATAGATTTTGTATGTATGTATGTATGTATGTATGTATGTATGTATGTATGTATGTATGTATGTATGTATGTATGTATGTATGTATGTATGTATGTATGTATGTATGTATGTATGTATGTATGTATGTATGTATGTATGTATGTATGTATGTATGTATGTATGTATGTATGTATGTATGTATGTATGTATGTATGTATGTATGTATGTATGTATGTATGTATTTCTATAAATTCCGGGATTCCCGGGAAATTAATTTTTTCATTTCCGTTTCCAAGGAAATTGAAAAGTCCGGGAATTCCCAAACTTCAGATATGTTTGAAACGGTTTTATTTTAAAAACTTTTGATGTCATTTGAGGCCGAAAATTGTTGCCAAAATTATAATATTAATTGCAATTGACTTTCATTGGTGGTATGTACTTCTAACTTTATTCTTTTTTCATTTGTTTTTAGGTTTCGTGTTTTTTGTCATAAGTTGTGTAACCACAGCAATTTTGGTAATTTCATACTGTGCTGCATTATGTTTTCATCGGCCATGTTAGCTGCGGAAAATCCCTTAAAAGCAGACGCAAGTAGGAACCTTGTAAGTATATTTCAATGAAAAGTTGTTCTTAGGAAATTAAATAAAATTTGCAAAAGACCGCGGACTGTGGGTCAGATTCAGGCCTGCCAGATTTTCCGATTTATCCGCATTTTGCCGATATTTCACCCTAAAAATAGTAAAGTGCCGATTTCCCGATTTTTGCTTTAAAAATGACGATTTTTTTACCCAAATCAAAAATATTGTAATTTCGCTATATTTTTTTATTTTTTTGCAATTCTAAAGAATTTATTGTCAAAACTAAACTTCGGAAAAGCAAAAATGACATGGAGCTTTTAAAATAATTGGGAAAAGAAACTTTAAATTACAGTAAAACGCAATTTGCTACATCAGAAATGTCAATTGGATCGAGATGTACTTATGTATATTATGAAAAGGAAACACAATTTATTTTACACATTGTGTGTGTAAGTTATTTTCTGTGTTTATTAGACTAATAATATTAGTCTATTCTTTTACTCAATTCTTTATTAACAAGTTACTTTATAGTGCTATTTGAAATGGTTTTAAAAAAAGCTGTAAAAAACAATATTTTTTCGAAAAACGTCTAATATCGATTACGATTAGAACCTCTAACTAATTCCTAATTAGACATACGCTCTAGACAGTTGGTTATAAATCCTATTGAAAAAAAATTTATTATAACGACCTCTCATTGCCAAGTAATAAAAATTTTAATTTAAAAATTTTGCCATAAATTGGTCAAGACATAAGACATCGTTTTTCAATTCCAATAAATAACATATTTTTAAAAGTCATAATTTTTTTAATATTTAGAATTTCACAAAGGTCTACAAACGATGGATGTAACTGTTTGATGAAAAACAAGTAAGAGTGCTATATTCAGCTGTGCAGAATCTTATATACCCTTCACCATAGTGTATTAAAAAAAAAAAATATCAATTTTATAAAATTTTAATTTATTTCATTTTCCCGACTATATCATTATTATAGCAATAGCAAAACATAATCAACAACAACAACGCTAAACGAAATAAACACGCAAAAAACAAAATACACAAGGCAGGCAAACAAGCAGACATCCAAACATACAATATTAAATACACCAAGAAAACAAAAACAATATACACAAGTCAATGAAACACGCAGCCATCCAAACATACGAAACGAAATAATAAAAAACAAGTAAGAGTACTATATTCGGCTGTGCCGAATAATGAAAAACATAATGAACAACAACAACGCTAAACGAAATAAACACACAAAAACAAAATACACAAGGCAGTAAAACCAACAGACATCCAAACATACGAAACGAAATACAGAAAAAAAACAAAAACAAAATACACAACGCAATGAAACCAACAGACATCCAAACATACGAAATTCAATACACCAAGAACACAAAAACAATATACACAAGGCAATGAAACACACAGCCATCCAAACATACGAAATTGAATGTACCAAGAAACAAAAACTATACACAAGGCAATGAAACCAGGCCTGCCAGATTTGCCGATTTATCGGTATTTTGCCGATATTTTACCTTCAAAATAGTAAAGTGCCGATTTCCCGATTTTTGCTTAAAAAATGCCGATTTTTTACCCAATCGAACAAATTAACGAATTTATTATAACTTTACATAAGCAAAAATTACATGGAGCTTTTAAAACAATTGGGAAAGGAAAATTTACAGTACGGTAGAACACAATTTGCTCCATCACCAATGTCAATTGGATCGATTATGAAAAGGAAACACAATTTATGTATGAAAATCCTGAATAGGTTCTAAAAGTCTGATCTAAGGGTGCTAAAATTTTTAAGAAATTTTTTATGGTTCGAAAATAAATTTACACATTTTTGTGGAAAAGTTAAAAAATTTGGAGAAAATTTCCCATTATAAAAATGTACTCAGCAAAATCTTTACCTATCCGATTTTTGTTAGACGATAACCAATAACAAATGTGATAACCCCACTTTCCTGGATTTAAAATCGGCTTTGCAGTAATTTTCTGTGTTTATTAGTCTATTCTATTTGATCGTGCAATTTGGAATTTAAAAAACAATATTTTTTCAAAAAACTTCTAATATTGACTAGGATTAGAACCATTAAATAATTCCATATTAGACACACGCTCTAGACAATTGGTTACAAATCCTATTGTAAAAATTAATTAATATTGTTGATAACGATCACTCACTGTCAAGTGATGTGTGAAATAACTACATCATGTATGATGTATGAAATAACAAAATTTGAATATTTTTTACAGGGTAAATATATAGTAATCCACAAATAATTATACATTTACATTTTTCTGCAAAAGTGATACAAATTCTAATAGATTTTATTCCAGTAAACCAAGGTTTCGGTGTACCCTTACAAAGAGTTCTTTTATTAGACCTATTCTGAATAAAAATTCCCTGAGTTATGCATGTATGTAAAAACAATATGTGATTTTTGAATTTATTTGTGTTATGTTTCTTTGGTACAAAATAGTGTTTCTTTCAATTGTCGATTTATTGCCGATTTTTAAAACGTAAGTGCCGATAAATGCCGATTTTTTGGGAAAAAATTGCCGATATTTCTACAAATTTATCTGGCAGCCCTGAATGAAACACACAGCCATCCAAACATACGAAACGAAATACTCAAAAAAACAAAATACAAAGGCAATGAATAAGCAGTGTTGTTGTTGTTTATTTTTAATGAAATTTTCAGAGGTTGTCTCGGATTTTTGCTTATATCTCCGTTGTTTATGAACGTATTTTGCTGATTTTAAATAGGAAACTTCTCGAAAGCATGTCCACAGGGTATACAGAGGCGTCACGAGCAAAAAACTATTTCCCTCTCTTTCGCACAAAACGATTTCAATGATTTTTTTAGCTGTATTTTATATACCTCTTCTCACCAAACAATTTCAAAATCAAACAAAAGCTGATTTTAGACTTTTTTAAATGTCAAAAGTGACACCTCTGTATACTTTGTGGCATGTCTGTTAGAATTATTGAAGTTTTGGATCCCGAAGATATCTGGGGTCTTCAGAAAACTGATTTCAACAGACAGACGGACATGGCTTAATCGACTCCGCTATCTATAAGGATTCAGAATATATATACTTTATGGGGTCGGAAAATTATATTTTGGAAATTACAAACGGAATGACAAACTTATATATACCCTTCTCACGAAGGTGAAGGGTATAAAAACAAAATACACAACGCGATGAATAAGCAGTGTTGTTGTTGCTTATTTTTTATGAAATTTTCAGAGGTTGCCTCGGATTTTTGCTTATATCTCCGTTGTTTAGGGACGGATTTTGCTGATTTTAAATAGGGAACTTCTCGAAAGCATGTCTAAAAGAATAATTGAAGATTTGGATCCCGAAGGTATCTGGGGTCTTCAGAAAACTGATTTCAACAGACAGACAACGCAATGAATTAGCAGTGTTGTTGTTGCTTATTTTTTATGAAATTTTCAGAGGTTGTCTCGGATTTTTGCTTATATGAAACTTCTCTATAGCATGTCTGATAGAATTATTGAAGATTTGGATCCCGAAGATATCTGGGGTCTTCAAAAAACTGTAACAGACAGAAAGACACGGCTTAATCGACTCCGCTATTTTAAGGATTCAGAATATATATACTTTATAGGGTCGGAAAATTATATTTTGGAAATTACAAACGGAATGACTTCACCTTCGTGAGAAGGGTATATATAAGTTTGTCATTCCGTTTATAATTTCAAAAATATAGTTTTATGACCCTATAAAGTATATATATTCTGAATCCTTATAGATAGCGGAGTCGAATAAGCCATGTCCGTCTGTCTGTCTGTTGAAATCAGTTTTCTGAAGACCCCAGATGTCTTCGGGATCCAAATCTTCAATAATTCTATCAGACATGCTTTCGAGAAGTTTCCTATTTAAACAAAATCCGTTCATAAACAACGGAGATATAAGCAAAAATCCGAGTATTTCGTTTCGTATGTTTGGATGACTGCGTGTTTCATTGCCTTGTGTATATTGTTTTTGTTTTCTTGGTGTATTTAATATCGTATGTTTGGATGTCTGTTGGTTTCATTGCGTTGAGTATTTTGTTTTTTCTGTATTTCCTATCGTATGTTTGGATGTCTGCTGGTTTGCCTGCCTTGTGTATTTTGTGCCGAATATAGCACTCTTACTTGTTTTTTATTATTTCGTTTCGTATGTTTGGATGGCTGTGTGTTTCGTTGCCATGTGTATGTTGTTTCGGTTTCTTGGTGTATTCAGTTCCGCCCCTGCCAGCAACTCAACTAACTTTAAATGCATTAAAAGCCGACTTTTTCATCAACTAGTTATGGTTGATCATTGGATTATTTTTAATGGAGCCAACTGACTAGTTTAACATGGCGATGTCCTACGCAGTAGCCAATTGTCCGACTCTGCATGACTTTTCAACTAACTTAAAGTTAGTTACAAAAAGATTAGCTTAAAGTTAACTGTTTATTAATTAACTTTAAGTTTGTTGCAGAAAAGTCAACTAATAGTTTTCTCTTGTATTACCTACTGTATTAATTACATTTTAATTAAATATATGTAAAATTTATTTACATTAACTAAATACATTTAAAATTTATTTAACTATTCGCTTTAATAAAATATTCTTTAAAATCATTTTTTTTTCTTTTTGATAATTATGCAAAACATTTTAAAAGCAGAAAAATCTGAATGAAAATAAGTTGAAAGAGTTTTGAAATATTTAACCTTTTATAATTCATATTTCCAATTTACTGACCCTAATTTCACAATGTATACAAGAAAATGACAAAAATGTAAAACAAAATTCTAAATAATAAAGAAACATGAGAAAACATCTCGAAAGAAATTGCTCTCCAGATAATTTTGGAGTAATTCTGCATTATATGATAGTTAGCTTGTAGCTAGCCTTTAAAAGTCGGTATCTTACGTTAATAAATACCAAATTTTGCAACATTATATTGTAGTTGGTTTATAGTCAGTCTACTTAAGTTAACAAAT